GGAGAGGAGAGTTTCGGAGAGGTAAGGTTCGGAGAGGTTTGGAGAGGTTTGGAGAGGTTCGGAGAGGAGAGGTTCGGAGAGATTTGGAGAGGAGAGGATAGGTTTGGAGAGGAGAGGTTCGGAGAGGAGAGGAGAGATTCGGAGAGGAGAGGTTCGGAGAGGAACACTGTGGGTCTAAATCATCATGGGATGAATCAAAAGACGGCTCATTTAAGTGTCTGACTTTCCAAGCCAATGACTTACACAAGGAAATAGCCTTAACCTTCTTTACAATGCCTAAAGGATAGACATAGAAATTTATGGAAAAAAATTAATGAGTCCCTTCCTCCAGCTTCAGGCCCTCTCAATTAGAAAGTTGGAGGGATTCACACCCACTTGAGGCATGTAGTTTAGCCAGCTATATGAATAAGTCTCCCTGAGATCCCTCACTAATCATCGGAGACATGTAGTTTTCTGCAAAAGCAAGGCAAAGAGTTTAAGTTCAGTGCCCAGTTAAGAGGAGTCTCAAGAACAAGGTGTCTAACCCATAGCTGCTGGTGGTAATATTCCTTGTGTGAACTGAAATGTAACAGATTTTATATTACTTGACATACAAACAGGTATTTTTTAAGCTGAAATTAGAGATCTTCACTACTGGAGTTAGGGTCAAACTAATGAGCTGAATATTTTTGCAAACTCATCTACCACACAGCTGTGGCATTATAAACACCAATCCGTTAGGCATAATAACAAAACACAACATCACATTAGGAGCTAGCAAAAAGTGAAGTGTGTAGAGTTCTAAGGCACTAAGCTATAGAAACTATTAATCATGCTAAGAAATACATAGGAAGACTGAATTGGATGCACTGATGTGAGGTACAATCTGACACCAAAAATGCATTAACACTACTACAATTGTGCCACTAGAGCTTTCTATGAGGGAGGTAAGCTTTAGAAGTTACTTCAGGACAGAATGCCACAAGGTTTGTGACCTGATAAATCCAAGTCTAGCAGCAGCTTACCTGATGAATTGTTAAAACTGCAGACTAAGTGTCTAATGCATGATGACCACAAATTCTATTCATTTCATAATGGATGTCTGCCTTTAACTTGAGTGACGTACTGAACTAAAGCTGTAACTTCCAACTGTGGTCTACTTCCCAGTAAACTGAATTCATTTTGACTTGTGACTGTTTTCAAGGGATAGATATTGCCTTTGATTTGTGCCATGCTTGCAAAATCCTTTATGGAATATAATAAAACACGTCCAGCAGAAGCTAAGAACCATTATATCAAAAAGCGTAGAGGCTGAATTCTAGTTTTGCTTTTTAATGGAGCTTTTATGGAGACCTGTGCCAGAAAAATTCCAATGCATGTGTCACATGTCATAATTACTTGTAATCCGCTTTAAAAGAATATTCTATTTTCAAGTGATCAAAATGTTTGTCTTTGATCCATTTTGGATCTGTATCCTGCAACTGCGCAGGAGACTGCATATATCTCCCCAGTAATAAAATAAAGAATTTAGTCCCAAGAAAAACACTGAGCTGGAAAGAAATACAAAAGAACGTTTAACATTTATGATCTGAGTCACAAAGAAATATTTCATAACAATGAACATGAGTTTTTAATGTAAGGAGGAGATAATTTCTTGCACTCTGTGCCAGAAGACAGTAACAGAGGAGCACAAATTACTGCCACGTCCCCTTTCATGTAGTAACCACAGTGTGCATTGCTCTGAGCATGGCCACATGTAGGGGAGACCTTGTTCTTTTCTTTCCTAGCATAGGCTTCTGCATGAGGACACCCATCTCAGGGAGTACAGGATTCAATAATACCTGAGTAGAATCTGCATTAGTAGCCTGCACAGGCCCACCAACAGGTTGGCCACAGATTGGCAAAGGCCAGTTAGAGCAGCACACAATATCTAGCTTTCATTTAAGCAATATATTAAATATCACAGGTCAATTTTTCTTCTTTCTTTTTCTTTTCTTTTTTTTTTTTTTTTATTTAGTAGCAATGTTCCTTCTCCCAGACACATTTGTGGCCCATGAATGTGGTCTTTACAGTTGCCTTTCCTTTGCACTTCTCAGTATGGTAAACAGGTATAGGTGTTCATGACAGAAGTCTGTCTGCTCTGTTTTCAAGGACTGACAAAAACACCATCACCACAGCCAATCTATTTCTGCATTGCTCAAAAATACGTTCATGCCGGGAGTTTAGAAACTGCAGACAGTACTGTAACATGGATGAATCCTCTGTCAATCCCTCTCTCCTCCAGTACTTTTTTTTGCAGAACTACTTCCTAGTCTGTTGTTGCCTGTCCTCTATTCAGGTAATGAATTATTACAGTTTGTATGCAAAGCTTCAGGCTTGTCTCTATTGAATAGGATTGTTTTGCATATATCATCATCTAAGTCATCAGTGATTCTAAGGAAACTCAGATG